GTCCCCCAAGCTCCGGCTCCTCGGGGTTCATTCACCGCAAAAATGAACGACACGGGCTGCGACTGCAAAAGAAGCTGAAAGAAGCTGGGCTCTCACGGGCATAAGCGCCGTGGAGTGGAAAAGGGAAGGTGGCAGGCGTGTCCTGTCCTCTCTTCCGCTGAGGTCCAGCAGGGAGGAGGAGGGAAAGGCAGGAATAGCTCTGTCAAAACGGAGCATCTCGGTGACCTTTACCATGAAGAAAAAAAAAAAAAAAAAAAAAAAAAAAAAAAAAAAAAAAAAAAAGAAAAAAAAAGCAGCGCAAATTCATTTATTGTTCCGAGAAGAATTAATAGTTATCAATAATAGTTATGCTGATAAGTTTTAAATTATTCTGTCGACTCTCGGCATCTTGCTGCAAACACATCTGTCACTTTTATGAGTTGAATAGATAACACGGCGGCTTACCTGACAATTAGTGGATTTTCAAAATACATTGCATTTCTTTGCTACTTTTATCTTGCCAGCTGAAATAGCGGATAGTGGTTTGAACGTGGTGATGAAACGGTCTGTTTCAGGAAAGAACATCTGCAGTTTTGCCAGCTATCAACTGATGGCAGAGTATTTTACTTTCGTTTGTGTAAATATTTAAACGCCTAAATTAATAATAAAGCTCAGACAACATTTTAGTGACCATTTCAAGGCTGTTTTCCCACAATAGAAACAATAAGGGTCAGGAAAGTTATCCCCTTTACACCTGTGTACACAATCATTGATGCCTTGGGTGTTGCAGTACAGCTTTTCTGGTAGAAGTGAATCACACACCTGCAGATTTGTCTTGACAGCTCTTGAAACCATCCATAATAAGAATTTCATGCTTTGCCCAGGCTGTCTGCCTCTATGTGAGTAATTTGTTTCATCATGTCCTCTTTGGACCTTCTTTAGAATGAACACCTGAGCGATAATCACGAGGCTGGACTCACAGGCATTGGCCTCAGTGTAATTTTTGTAATATTTGTCAATTTTGTAGCATTTATATGTACAGAATTCCTCTGCATGCACTTTATGTGCTGGTTTTGCATATTGCTTATTGACACTGGTTTTCCACCCAGTTGTTCTTCGACAGTACTTAGAGGTATCATTTATGTGCATTTCCAAGTACCTATCAAATGCATTACCTGTACCTCAGTAGGCTGGAGGACCGGATCATAGTACAAATATTAGCTCTGTCAGGATTTTAGTCTTCTGTAAGTAGCCTGAAAACAGAAACAAATCAGCTCCATACAATTTTAAGCAGCTTTTTTATGTAATTCAGAAACTTCAGCAAGGATTAGCAAAGTCTCCCTACAGGATATTAAGGTAGTGCTAAGGCTTAAGTCTCAATCTTTGGTCAGTCTCAGCTGGCTTTCTTCTCCATCTTTTGCCAGAACAGATGGCAGTTTCAAAAAGGAAATCCCGAATAAGGTGGTTACCGCAGAGTAATTATGATTTATAAACTGGAGATGGCGCTCTCTGCCCACAGATTTCCGCCACAACGGCAGTTGCTGCTACCCAATGCCAGACTGAAATTGTGCTTCCATTTCTTTTAAGAAATAGCTCTGGGGGAGAGGAGTTGCTTTGCACACTTGGTGCAGTAATGTGAAAATCATCTCCGCAGAAGCCAGGTGGTTGGGAGGAGACCCGCTAATTACTCCTAAGGTGGATCATAATCAGTTTGGAGTTTATATAACATAGCACCAATGATAACACACCGGCTTTTGAAAATCCTTAAGTGTTCTGCCAGCATGGTCACAGTAAACCTTGTATTGGCAAAATATCTTCAGGAAAAGTAATTAATTGATGGGATTCATTCATTACTATCCAGCAGGAAAAGTAAAAGAAAAGAACATGTTGTATCGTTCAGTGGACAGGGCAAAATGCTTGTGTATCACAGATCCATCAGGAAGGAATAGCAGTCTTGAGCCCTTCCTAATAGCAACACAATCGATGAGCACCTGCCAGAAACTATAAATGGTAATTTTAGTTCTCCAGACTATAATATCTTCCTTCATGTGAGGCAATCTTAGCAACTATAGAGAGTCAGCTACTGAAAATCTGTTGCAAGGAGTCTTCTGTAAGGGTACAGAAATGCAAACCTCAAGGATGAGAGTACATGTGTGCCCTGTGGCTCCCTTCACTCTGCCATGCACCTCACAGTGCTGGACTGTGTGTGCTTGTGCCCAGGGAGCCCCACTCTGCCTTGTGTGGGCTCTCAAAGCTGGCACCTGAGCGAGGCACCGTGCACTGATATCTGTGCCAAGGGCTGGACATCTCCTGCTGAGACTGCATAGAATCACAGAATGCTTTGGGTTGGAAAATACCTTAAAGATCATCTACTTCCACCCCCATTGCCATGGGTGGGGACTCCTTCCATTTTAGCAGTTTGCTCAAAGTCCCATCCAACCTGACCTGGAACATTTTCAGGGATGAACATCCCCAGCTTCTCTGGGCACTGTGTTCCCATGTCTCACCACACTCATAGGAGAGCATTTCTTCCTAATATCTAATCTAAACTTAATTCTTTCAAGTTAAAGCTATTCCATCTTGTCCCATCACTACATGCCCTTGCAAAGCATTCCTCTCCATATCAGAAGGCTGAGGAGAACATACACTTATGGTAGGAGTCCAGTAGTCAGCAATAACTGTCCCTGCTCAGTGTAGCTAACCAGTGGCATCACTACCCAAAACAAAAATGTTCTTGCTGCTGTTGCATAACATCTTGGGCTTTCTGTGATTAACAAGAGATTTTTATCACAACCCTTAGGATTAGCCCATCTAAACCTTCGCAATTAAGAAAAAGTTTTATCTTATATGTGTAATGGATCTACAGGCCCAAGAGTAGAACTTTAGACAGGCACATTTTGGGGAAAAAAGAGTAAATTTAAGAGCAAATCAATCTTATATGAGCAGAACATTTCTAATGTAAAAAGGCAGCTGAATTAGAGGATTAGGTCACACTGCCTGATTAACATCATTTGATCTTTTGCTATTGAAAAGCCACTGGTCTTCTCAGAGAATGGAAGCATTCAAACTTTAAATGACACCACAAGCCTGGCTTAGAAAAAAACCTGCTAAACTGAAAACAACTTGCCTTGCTTCAGTAATTGTTGGTTTGTCTCTGCTCTGGGGGGATGCATCCAAATCAGGATTTAGAAATCCCTCACATTTTGCTATAACAAAGAAGGACTGGAAAACTGAATGAGGGCATCTTGGGCACTATGTGGGAGAGGTTCACAGCATGTGAATCTTGCCTCGCTTTGCCATATTTATTTCTTGTTTAAAGGTAGAAGACAGATACTCAAATATCTGTTTGATGTTCATTTTCTTTATTGCACATTCCCTGTTGGTTTTGCCTTCTTAATTTTGCTGGGGTAGGAGGTAACCAAAAAAAAAAAAAAGCTCACCTTGGGCCAAAGAGCCCACTCAGAATCTGAGAGGTACCTGCTGATGACATTTGCTAATAGAGCAAGAGAGGGAGTTCTAGTTACAGTTCTTATTGGTTTTAAAACTGAATTTGTTTTGACTAAGGAACATGTTTAAACAAAGAAGCTTTCCTTAAAATTATACCTCTTTCTTGTGAGCCTCAAAGTGAAATTGTAACAGATCAGCCTTGGTCATCTGAAATTTTCTAAGGTAAAGCAAGAATGAGAGAACCATTCTATGATATAAGTAAGCCTTTTGTCACTGGAAACACCAAAAACAAGAATAAATCCCATGTAAAAAAAATCCTCTGCTACTTCTGATATCTTTTCTGTTAAAAACATTATACTGTTTTCACTTAATTCTTCTTAAATGAGTTTTGAAGGGATTTTAACAATCACCTGCCACTAAGTGCCACTGTAGTAAACAGCATTTAGTCAACAGCAAGCAGACAGAAATCAAAGAATTTATTTCCGGTCTCTAATGATCTGATGATCAGTTTGCTCAAAGAATTTTTCTGTGCTTTTTTTGAAATACTAACCAGTATTCACAAGCAGTGTATTTTTATTATTTTAAAAAATGCTCATTTAATATTCATTATATTATTTTCCATCATAGTGTTATTTCAGTTGCTAGAGATGAAGAAAAGCAGCATTGTAAGATACAGAAAAGCTGTGAATATCCTTGTTATTCCCCCAGTCATGCTTTTAAGCATTGCACATTCATATAATGAGCACACAGATCCTGGTCAGACTCTTGCTTTTCAGCCATCTCCCAAATGTGAGCCAAGTCAGACCCTGCTTAGCTTCCAAAATCAGATGTGATCAGGCATGTAACAATGTAAAGAAAAATAAACCCTGAAAGGCGCTCTGAATTATAATGTACATTTTTTTTCCCTGACATGCAAGAAAGAACAAAATGGAAGTTTTATCACAACTCTGCTTCCTTTTGGGTGCCCCCACCCTCCCTTATTACTGTGAGCAACGTTTTCTCGAAATAAAGGCACACTGATTTGTTTGTTATTTTAGGCTCTGAGAAGCAGGTCGGGCTGGAACCCTGTGCAAATATATGCCTCTGGTCCCATTAAGGGCCTATGAAGGTGCTTATACCTCCATCCATTGCACACAGGGCATTGTGTCCCAGAGAGGGCTCCTGGCACTGCCCGGCGCTGTCCGTCCCCTGTGGCTGTGTGTGTTTGCGGCCTGGAGCCGCTGCGCTCCCGTGGGCCCTCACGCAGGGACAGCTGCCCGCGCTTAGCTGCCTCGGCTTCCTGCCCCCTCGCACACTGCTCGCCCATTATTTTGGCGGCGGGTGACAGGGCTCTGGAGCCTCCCTTCCCCTCGGTCACCCTGGCTGGCAGCCGCGGCTGGGCGGCCGCATTTGTGCCCTGCCAGCCCCGCAGGGAGAGAGGGAGGGGGAGCAGGGAGAAAACCCTGAGGCCACCGTGCTCTGCTGCAGGGGCTTCAAGGGGTCTTCTGAGGGCAGGATCCCTGGCCACGGCTGGGGGTGGCACTCCCTCCTCTCTCATGCGACCCATACAGCGCCTACACTAGTAAAAAAAACTCTGCTTTGCTGCTTTCATCCAAATAGTTGAGCCCTTCAGACACCCGTGAACAAAACACACCAGCCATAGGAATGCTCTTGCTGATCCAAGGGAACCTCTTGCATGGGCCTCTGCCTTCTAACCTGAGATTGACTTTAATTATCCATTATTCTGCCTTCCTCCCTGTGAGCCTCTTGCTGAATGCATTGTGCCACCCAGCACATTAGTCAATCATCGTAGCTTACGGAGCGCTACACTTCACATCTTGCCTTCGGTGTCATTCATGTGCACTGAGTGGAGACAGCAACCACTTTTAAGACGCTGGGTAGATTTACGCATGCTAGGGCCTGTAGTAAATAGCTTTGCTGACATTTAAGCTGCACATGGCTGGATGTTAGGTCCAACAAAAATGTCACACTATAATCACTTTTTAAATAGCTGTTTCCGGCTCAGTTAGTACTGTATAGTTCCAGAAGAGAAAGCACTTACAAGCTGACAGGCAGAAAGGGGAACCGTCTGTATAGGATGTTTGCCTA